ATTTGAACCGACAGCACAAAATTAGTTTTTGTTAAAATCCCATTTTCTGTTTTTCTTTTCAATTAATCTACGTATATGTATATCACACGGTTTTTGAAACATTTACTGGCTATCAATTAACTAAAATATTTTTTATAGAGGTACTATTTTACCTGTTGACATAAAAATGCATTTTCAAATAAAAATTCCATTTTTTGCAAAAAAAATATCTCCAAAAAGCTCTCAAACAAACACAAACAGATCTATTCAAATTTTAAACGAGGTTATTGTAAACCAATTTTATTTCTGAATTTCCCTTAGACTCAATTTTAATTCCAGGCAGAACAATGCATGTTTTTATAGAGATTTGAATATCAAAACTGCGTTTAAAACGATTCCAAATATCAACATAAACGTAAAGTAAATATTTGCATAGAACAGTCCATATATTAAAATTACTCTATTCCGTCTAAACGCATACTGTGAGGTCTTATCGATCCAACTTTGTCAACATTTGCTACAAAAATTTACAACAATTTAAATATAGAACGAAATCAAACATGAGCGGTATCTATTCCGCATATATGGACCAGATGGAAAACAAAAATTAATAAAATTGAAAATCACAGGAAACACATATTCTTTGGTATTTTTTTTTAATTTTTTAAATAGTGTATAAAAAATAATTTCATGCTACATACAAGAAATGCACCATTAAACCAAAAAACTTATGTACAAAAAATACCTACAAATATATATATATATATATATATATATATATATATATATATATATATATATATATATATATATATATATATATATATATATATATATATATATATATATATATATATATATATATATATATATATATATATATATATATATATATATATATATATATATATATATATATATATATATATATTTTAAATAGACGTACATAATCTATTATGTATGTATACGAATATCCTATTTATGTAGAGGGTGGGTCAAATTCGACGCTTTTAAATGGAAACAACCTTTTCTATAGGAGATAGACAAAAACTAATATCGGTGTCTGGAGCTCAATTTTTGTCAAAAACATGATGGTGAAAACCGCATATCGATATCTGTTACCGTTTCGGAGTTACGGGGTGTTTTTCAAAAATATGCATTTTTAACAAATCGCTGTAACTTTTTTGCTATGGAAAATTTTGTATTTTTATGTAAACATTTCCAAAGCACCTTTTTACGTAGAATTTAATGGTTTAAGTATAATTTTTTTTAAATTAATAATTTAAGAATTATCAACAGAAAATTTGATTTTTTATATGGGACACCCTGTATATTTTTTATTAGCTGAAAAGAATTTAAAATGACCTTTCCAAAAATATAGCACACTTGATATTTTGTTATAATCCCCTTCGAAATACAGATTTTTTAAAAGTTCGCCACTTTTAACTAGTAGCACAGAATATCTAGCTACGCAACAGAAAAATACTCGAAATGAAAGAGCTAAAATAGCACAAATAAAATACTAGATGGCGCGACAATATCATAATCAGAATATAATTGGAAATTTTCAATTTTCGGTTTTGAATCGACGTAGATCGACGGCACGTCGACGGCCTTGAAGCTCGGTTAAATATGCACAGTTGCCAGATTCAAAAAGACTTTAATTGGCATCCCATTCTTTTTCTGGTGTATAATAATTTCTTTCTATTCTTCGTTTCTTGTCAGATACACTTATATTAATTATTCGTTTGGCTTTTAAAATAGTTTTAATTTTAAGTATATTATTAGATAACATATGCTCTCAAAATACATTTTTAATATACACTACTTTATTATGTTAACTAAGAAAATAACTTCAATTACCTTTAAAATTAATAATATACAGGGCGATTGATAGTGATATTTATTACTGCTGAAACGTTAGTAATGAAATAGACGTTTAATAATAATGGAAATGATTTATTAAAATGCAGTATAAAAAAATGTTAATTGACTAAAAAAATACTATAATAACAACTTTTTTTCTGTTTGCCACGTTATTTATATAGACCTAGGTAGATTTTAAAAAGTGACACAGGTACAATTAATAATATATTAGTTCGGCATAAAAATTGCTGTCACGACATCGTACGATAAATTAAAATTCGTAAAATAAATTAAAATTATTAATTAAACAAATCTTTATAAAGAAACGCAAGTATATCAAATTTGGGCCCAATCGAACGCCAGGAAATGGTATCGTAATATGGTACTACATTATGGTACCCCTTGATATGCTTCATGGTATTGCATAATATTGCAATGTCATCAAAAATACGCAAGTATAATCAAATATGAACCCAATCGAACGTCAGGAAGTGGTACCGTAATATGGTACTACATTATGGTACGCTTGATATGCTTCATGGTACCATAATATTGCAATGTCATCAAAAATACGCAAGTATAATCAAATATGAGCCCAATCGAACGTCAGGAAGTGGTACCGTAATATGGTACTATATTAAGGTACCACTTTATATGCACCATAGTCCCATCATATTACAATGTCACCGAAGATACTTACTATATCAAGTATAAGTCCAATCGCACGCCAGGAAATGGTATCGTATATGGTACTATTATGCTACCTCTTGATATGCTTCATGGTACCATAATATTGCAATGTCATTAAAAATATGCAAGTATATATCAAATATGAGCCCAAATGAACGTTAGAAATTGGTATCATAATATGGTACTATAGAAGGTACCTCTTTATATGCTCCATGGTACCATAATATTACAATGTCACTGAAGATACGTAATATACCAAGTTTAAGCCCAATCGAACGCCATGTATCATAATATGGTACTATATTACGGTATCACTTGATATGCTTCATGGTACCATAATATTGCAATGTCATGAAAAATACGCAAGTATATATCAAATACCGTCTGATACTGAAAAAAACGGTGTCCAGTTGGCTGGGAAAAGACGATCGATGACATTTCCCATATAACTTTACACATAAAATGACAGCGATTTTCATTTCATAGCCATCGCTAACGCCGTGTTTTCCCGATCATACGGTATGAACACAATCGAACGTCAGGGAGTGGTGTCATAATAGTCGAATTACAATCAAAATTCAGGATTCAGTTAGAATCAAACATCAGGAAGTGATTTTAATTCAGCTCGTAAGATTTAACTCCAACTAACATGGCAAGTTAAATACTTATATCTATTTTAATATGTTTAAATGATGTAGCAAATTTGAAGGTAGGCTTTATCAAGTATTACAATATAAATTACACAATGGCAACACTGCATAAAATTCTTTTAAATTTTGTTTGTAGAAAACTGTTTGCTTTTAAATTTATCGCCCTCTATTATGTAGTAGCGAAACTACCGCATCAAAATATCTGATTTGGAGACAAGCTTTAAAAGCCTGTCTCCTTTTGAGACCTACGATTTTATACATGTAACGAGGCTTCTGTTGCGTAGCTAGATATTCTGTGCCAGTAGGCTTTGGACCCCTCATTGATGATATGCCCCTTAATGGAACTCGAAAACATATTTTTCCAGCAAGACAACGCACCGCCTCTGAACGCTGAAGTTATCAGCAAATTTCTGCAGCCAATTTCAAGAATAATTGAATAGCTGACCAAGAACCCAGCCGTTGGCCGTCGAGGCCGCCTGACTTAGTGCCCATGGATCTAATCCTATGGATATATTTTCGGAAGAATAAAGGTTCCTTATTCTTCTGTATAATCTAGACAAGAATTAGAAATACTTAGCAGTTATGAGAGGGTATCTTTCACGCCCACTGGGTTAATGAATTCCGCAAGAAATGTTCAAAAACTGCCCCGTCTGTCCATAACAGAAGACGGTCGATATGTCGAACACCTGTAGCAAAATCTCACGTCCTGGTTTGCTATTTATTTTTATTGTTATGAGATATAGTTTAAATGTGTTAAATGACAAAAATATAGTTTCTTTTAAATATGCATAAATATTCATATTTCCTATCAGTCAGGTAATGTTAGCCTCTACAGGATGAGTCTTAAATAAGTGCAAATATTTTTAGAGGTAGTATATTTCGACCCCAGAAACACGATTGAGAATATTTCCGCGAAAAAAAATTGAAAATTTGGAATTTTTATTTAGTTTTTAGTTAAAAACATAAATTCTTGATAATATGGCAACATATATAGGTAGTTGATTAAATTTACAACCAAGAAAACCTAGAAAAAGTCCAGAAGTTATCAAAATTTAAGCAAAACAACATTTTTTTAGAAATTTTCAAAGTAAAATAACTCGGTTATTTTGGACTTATTTGAAACTTATTTAAGATTCACCCTGTATAATGACTTTATCAATCCATATGTTGGAATTATCCCATATCTCGCAGAAAGAAAATATTTGTCACTAATTGATCTAACATTATGAATGAAAAAAGTGATAAAAACTTATCATACATGATAAAAATCCAGGTCTCAGTTAGCCAGAATTTCAGAAATTTCAACACATCCATTAGTTTTTACCAGAAACATTAGTTTCATCGTAATATATAAAATAATTTGTATTTTAGACAGGAATTTTGTCACCGATCCAGTAAGTATAGCAAAAAATATTTAAAAAAAAGCGACAAAATAAAACGTATTTAATATTTCAAATCTCAACAATTCAAATCAGCGCACAAAAACCAAAAATAAATCGTCTAGATTCCCTACAGCGATAAAAACATATCCAACAAAAACGCATAAATCGAAATATGTTTTATTATTGACCACACCTTGTATTCAGGCAAGAGGAATCAAATAATAAGGGTTCGTTCAGACCTATCGATCGATCCCTACCATATGTTGAAAAAAAACGCAGAAATAACAAACAAAACAAACCCATATTAACACAGATTGTTCGGGACAAAGATTCACATATTTATCAATGAAAAAAAAAACGTTTTTAACTTACGACACAGATGTGTATATGTATCTAGTCAAATTTATGAATGAAACAATAATTTTCAACTTACCAGGCCTTGACTCTGATCAAGATCTCGCCCTCACCGAGGGTCGGCTCGGGCTTTTTCAAAATTTTCACCGATTTCAAGCCGCCAAAGCCGGTCAAAACCACGGCCCTCATCTCTTTTTTCGGCGGTTCGTTTTCGCCATCCGCAACAGGTTCGCTAGCGACCGCTGCCGATTCACCATTCTCCGTAATAACTTCCTTCTCTTTGTTGTCACCGTTCTGTTCTCCGTTCATCGCGGTGCTATCTTGCTGCTGTTCGGACGACATGATTACTTTCAGTAAAAAGACACGAAGGCGCACAGCTAATATGCTTGTTTCAATATGTTTCGTTTATAGTTAGAGGAGCGCGAAGGGATAGAATGTGTTCTTACAGTACCGGCCGGCAAACGAACAATGAACAGCGCTCGGCAATCGGCAAGTAACAGGTGCTCGTGGTGGAGCGCTCGGGGAGGGTGGGCATGCGCGATCGTGGGGAGGGAAGAGGACGGAGGGACTGCACCCTTCGACGCCCGTCGCGGGTCGCGGAGAGGTCCGTGTCTGGGAGGATTGTCTCTGAGCGGGCGATTGTCCCTTACAGGGCGGTCCAACTTGAAATCTCATACCACTGGATACCTCGTCGTTGTATATGCAGTGGCACGTGAATCCCCCAAAGTTAATCTCTTCTAGAGAAAAAAGACTAATTTAAATTTTATTAATCTTTCATTAATTCTATTTATTCCAAAAACAAGCGGTCATAGACTTGAAATTTATACACAATAACTAACTTAAACACATCTATTACATTCTAAACAAAACTTTCAATCGCTAATCGCTATAACAGATTTTTTAAAATCCCGACAGCAGCGCTCGGTACGGCAGAAATCAGAACTCTCCGGCAGGGGCGTCGACTTTTATAAAACCGCGTGGGTACTCATACAAAAAGATAGGGGTAAATGTAACATATGGCTCTGGTGCACAATAGGTCCCCACGCATTTAACACTTTTTTGGGATTTTTTTTGCAAGATTATCTTAAACTGAATATTTTTAAGCATAAAAATTGTTGGATGAATGTGTTTTATCTTTAAAAAGCGGCAAAAAAACGTATTTTAGGTACAGGCGACGGACAGTAAATATGTTAAATTTTCTACACGGATTCAGTAAAAACATCACATATTAGTACTTTATTACCTTATATAGACGTGGAATGATCTAATTTAAGCACAAAAATGTAACGAATCTTCTTTGTAAGCATAAAATTAAGAAAATATATTTATTTACATCAGCTCAAGCTAGCAATTTTATGACTTTTTCGATTGACAGTTAATCGATCATCGGTATGTCATCTATGGCCTTCGCATAGAATTTGCGACGTTGTCAATAAAATTACTTTATATGATTTTCTTCTGAAATAAAGTTGTTGTGGAGGGACTTAAAACGGTAAGTTATCACTTTAGTGCAACAAAAATTGAACTGTCTAGTAGCTTATTCGTTAGTGTGGATTATTTTAAAGCAATTTGTGAAATAAAATTTGCGGATTTTTCATGTTCTACGAAAATATAAGTTTTTTTAATATATACTGTTTTTCGACGCGTAATCAATGAAGTTTTGTCATTAGGCTCAATTAGGTTAGCCTGGTTATTTGGAAGGTGGTAATGCATTGGTTAGCCTGGCTATTTGGAGGGTGGTAATGCATTGGTTAGCCTGGTTATTTGGAGGGTGTTAATGCATTGGTTAGCCTGGTTATTTGGGGGTGTTAATGCATTGGTTAGCCTGGTTATTTGGAGGGTGGTAATGCATTGGTTAGCATGGTTATTTGGAGGGTGTTAATGCATTGGTTAGCCTGGTTATTTGGGGGTGTTAATGCATTGGTTAGGTTAGGTTAGATAGGCTGGTTATTTGGAGGGTGGTAATGCATTGGTTAGCCTGATTATTTGGAGGGTGTTAATGCATTGGTTAGCCTGGTGATTTGGAGGGTGTTAATGCATTGGTTAGCCTGGTTATTTGGGGGTGTTAATGCATTGGTTAGGTTAGGTTAGATATTCTGGTTATTTGGAGGGTGGTAATGCATTGGTTAGTCTGGTTATTTGGAGGGTGTTAATGCATTGGTTAGCCTGGTTATTTGGGGGTGTTAATGCATTGGTTAGGTTAGGTTGGTGGGGAGTGTTTGGAAGTACGCAGATCACATCGATTTCGGAATCTTACTGAACAAATCCGGGAAAAATATATTTTTAAACAATTGTGCTAAATACTGTGTAATGATTTTATTGTCAATTTATTTTTATAGTGTTTTTGTTTTGCCTCGTTACACAGGGTGAGTATGGCAACACTGTGCATAACCTTGTATTTTACTGTCTTTATGAAGGTTATAATAGGGAGTTTTCGCATTGAAATGTAGTGAAAATTTGGAATTTTCAATTATTTTTTTTCGTAGAAAAAGTGGTTCATCCAACAATTTTTTTCTTTTAAACCATTCCATTAACTATGGGATCCACATTAAAAATTAAAAAAACCACGATTTCGTGGGGACCTGTTCTGCACAAGACCCGTAACATATTTCCAGATTGTTACATTTGTTATATTTATTACACTTTTTTACTTATGGGTAACAGATATAACAACATTAGGAAAATACCATAACAATTTATGTCAGTTAGATTGCTATTTTTGCAATTTTATTATACAGGGTTGTTCACCACATACGACACGGAGTATTGTAGCTAAACGATGAGATTTTTACAAATTGTAAGTTTGGGGTTCGTTGAAGGACTATTAGAGCTACAATTTAAAAATATTTTTACAAGATACAGAGTGTCCCAAATAAATAAAAAATATCAAAGTTGTATTTTTTTAAATGGAACACCCTGTATATTATTACATTTTTAGTTTCTACGATTAAAATAAAGGTAAATTTGATTAAGGTTTATTATACTTAAACCTTACCGTTTTTGAAATATTTTCAATTTTGTGAAATTGCAGTAAAAATTTTAAAGCTTCATTTCTCCAAGGGTATCAATGTTCATGGTGTCAATAAACCACCCAGGGTATCAATAAATCATCATGATTTAAGTCAAAAATATAGACTTAAGGGATAAAAACGACAAAAATAACGTTATTTAATGACTTGACTTCAAATAAAATGATTTAAGTCAAAGACTCTTCATTTGAGCTTTATGTCAAAGACAAATCATTTGAGCTTTATGTCGAATTTGACTTAAGATTTAAATTATTTTGATTTTAGAAACGACTTAAGACTTGAGTCTTTTTAAAAATCACTTATTACAGCTCTCGTTGTGATAATTTCAAATGATAATAAAATTGCCGAAAAAATAATAACACCAAAAGGAAGGCGTAATTTCCTGGTTGAACAAATTTATTGTGTTTGAATATTGCACGCTAATATCATTTTTGACAAGCATCTATTCTTCGATGGTCACGCATCTTATGTCAAGACAAAATTGCATTTAAAAAAAGAATCAAATAAAAAAGGGAAAAATGATTGAAACCAAAGCATAATTAAAACTTATGTCGTGTAATTTTGTCGCACATTTTGGTTGCACGAATGAGTTATGGTTGCTTTGGTTTCCACCTTTAATCGTGATTCTTTGCTTTCTTAGGTACAATTTTGTCCTGACATAAACTGCGCGAGAATCGAAGACGAATTGTGACGGGATATAAATGTAGATTGTAGATGTATAATGCGTGGAAGAGGGGTTATTAATCACCGCAACCTTAAATATCTATTGTGTCCCCCTTTCTTGAATTATAACTCATCATACATGACCACAGACATCCTCCCCTAACAACAATTGACTGTTCATCCTCCGAGAAGTGGACATCTACTTCCTACGAGGGTATACACCCTTCCACGATTGGGGTTTAGCCCTCCGTACCCTTCACAGTCGAGACTTGTCTCCGGCTGAGATACCCTCGAGGTGGAGGCTGGAGGACCCGTCTCCATTTTTTACAAATTTTTAACTTGGTCTCTCCGTAGGCCTGATACTGGTGTTGTCTCCCGGATCTATAATAGAGAATATCTCTCTTTCTCTATTGCCTCCTTGGATTTGAAATCAATTCCTATTGTGAGGACCTGACCATGGCCCTTAAGTTGATGACTTGCCAACTCGATGTTCTTACATTGGAGTTCTAGCAAAGCTGGTGATACACCCCAAGAGTTGGCCGGGTCCACCTCTACAGAGCCCCGCATGTAGAAGTATGGGAGACGAGAATACACTGGGTTGAGACCAGTAGAGGCTAGCCTTCTATCTAGCCACGCATCCCTTTGACCTGGTCCCGCAATCGTAGGATTTAGTTTTTTTTTGGCGAGGTTGTCTCTTCTTGGTCCGGGCGGTTAAACCAACCACCCACACCCACTGCCCATGATACATGACCACAGACAGCAGAGGGTGGCATCTGGCATCGTTATACGTCTTGGTGCAATTCCCTGGCCACTACATTACAGCTAGGGATAAACCAGTTAGATGCTCCTTAGACCCAGCCAATGTGCCAGAAACAAGGTCTCGAATCTCCTAGAGGAAGAACTGGGTATGAATAGACGCTTGTCAAAAACGACACTAGCGTGCAATATTCAAAGACAATTTGAGTAGACAGGACTTTTAGTACTTTAATAAAATAACGATACTATAATTTGTAGTCGTAAACTGACGATTTGATAGCCCAAAAACTATTTTTGAGCGTGGTCGTAGGACAATATTTTTCTAAAGTTGTGCACCACCAATGTATTATGTAGTATGTTGCCCACGCTCTGTCACAGCGTATGTGTTGTTAATTCTACAAATGTTACTAAATGATAGATTAGACGGTGTCTCTTTTAGTTGTTTTCAGTGAAGTGCTGTAAACAACATGACATGCAATTTTGTTTGCAACTAGGTGTACTGTAACTGTATCACGCCCTCCACATTCTGCAATATTCATTCTATAGTATCCAACATAGTATTAGATGCTGCAACTAGCAGTATTTAAAACAATATTCAGTGGCAGCTAGTACCAATCCAGAAAGCTAGTGCCAATATGAGAATCAAATTGAAACTTATTTTTGATTAACACAACGTTTCGGTCAAAAGAATCACCGACCGTTATAAATTATAAACTAATCTAATTCCTAAAACTACTGAGCATTTACACTGCAGCCAGGCATCCACCTGTGAAGAAGTTGGGTGCAGTCATGTTGCAGTCAACCGTGAGGTGGTCCACTTAGAATGCCTGCATTGGTGCGTTCTAACAGTGGCTGACATATTTGACATTTTTAAAACCAGCTGTACAAGGCCACGAACGTCACTGTCTGTCTTTTGCTCGGGCGTGTCCATGACTGACTCAAGGGAGAAAGCGATCGTAGTATCTATGGCACTCATGGCCTTTTCTTAGCTGGTTTGTAGTTTAGATGACCTAGACAGATAATAAACTGAACATTTTAAAGTAAGCAATAATAGCATTACTTTTGTGGTTGTACATAAAAATAGTTATTCTTGAATAGTGCTTGCAACTCTAGGAAAAAGTGGTTATTTCTCTTACTGTAGGAAAAGGATATCTGATACATAGGAAATAAAAAATGCAGATGAAATGTTTTACATCCAAAACAAGTAACATGTTTAATGTATATATTACAAACTAAAATTTTTAATCATTAAAATACAGTAAAACTTATTTGCCACAAGGAATACTCATGATAAAACCAAACAAGTAAATACAATTTTAATCCCCTTGTTGGTATTCCATAATATCATTTTACTGCTTTAAAACAAACTATAAATAAATTACTTAAAACTAATCTTAATTTAAAATCTGCCATTCTTAGGATTTGACTATATACAAGTATTATTGGCTAAAAACAGAATTGCGTGTAGTCTACACTACTAAATAAAGAAACTACGGAAAATAAACTCGAATACAGTTAAAAAAAATAAAGTTTTCTAATCTCACTATTGATAAAAGAAAGTCCACATTTATCATTCACTAAAATTAAAAATGTATTTCCACACTTTAAAATGTAGATTTAATAGAAAAATACGCACATCTCTATGAATCGGATTTAAAATACAGGGTGTTCCTTGATGACGTGCTAATATTTAAGAGGGCGATTGGACCTATTCTAAGAAAAAACTTCATATCCTAAAAATCTTAAATTTTGAGATACAGGGTGGTAAAATTTTGTAAAAAATGAAGATTTTTTCATAATAACTATAATGAAATTATACAACATGATCGAAAAAAAAACGGCGTCAGCGATGACTACGAAATGAAGATCGCTGTCATTTTAGATGTAAATTTATATGGAGAATGTCATTAATGGTCATTTCCAAGCAAACTGGACGCCGTTTTTTTCGATCGTTCAGTAGATATCTTTATATAAAATTTGATACACGTCATCTATGCATAAAATCAAAATGTTTTTTTTATTAGGTTAGGTTGGTTTTTTTGGTTTATTTTTAATTTAAGCAAAATCCATGTGTGGGACGAATAAAAAATCAAAAGATAAAAATTATATAGAAATGAATGAAAATTCTTAAAATAATGTTTATTTTAAGACAAGTCAGAGGCATACTATTTTTTCTCCAAAAATATTCAATATAAAACCCGTATATAGACGACACTGGTTGAAATAAACAAAATTGTACACCACTCATGGCGTTTTGATGGATAGAATAGGTGTATCAAGTTTTGCTTTGTACAAAGTTTTGTTTTAGAAAATTTTACCGCCCTGTATAACAAAAGTTAAGATGTAGAGGACACATACACATTCACATGAAAGTTTTTTTTTAGATTAGGTCCAAAAATCACCCCCCTAAATATTAACATATCATTAAGGAACACCCTGTAGATATAAGATATTGCAAATAGAAACTCAAACTAACATCAAACATAGTTAAAAAAAATACGATAATTTTATGATAAAATAATTTTATGGAAAAATTACATGTTAAAATATAAAAAAAAACTTTAAATTAGGTAAATTAGGATACCAAATACCTTTAAAAGCACTAGATTTTATTCAGTATTTTGCCTAAGCCTATCTTCTACCAAAGACTGAATTTTTCTGTTTGATATTCTTTTATTTGAAGGCGTCGTTTCGTTATCATCGTCAGTCAGCAATCTTTTGCCTTGTACTCCATTGTTGTTGATAGCTCTATTGATAATTTGCAGGTCCTGGAATGAAAAGAATGAGTTATAAAATGATGAAATCAATAGATATGATCTTATAAACCTCAAATTTAGATCATAGGAACATAGGATAGATGGTACTTACTTTGGATGGACTGCGACTGAAGTTGTAACTAAAGCTGGTACTTGCCGGTGGTGTTACTATATCCAAAGGTCTTACAAAAACGTTTCCCAAAACTTGCATATTTGGAGAGTTTAAGTGTTTTCTACTGGCGGGAAGCGGACTCAATATGATGTTATTCTAGAATTATAGAGATCAATAACAATTATAATTACAAAATTAATGTATAATGGATGTTCTCATTCAAAACGCAATCAGGTTTTGACAGTTTTTTATGTCAATATTTACAGAAATTTTCGTCGATTCTTATTCAAAGGCTATGACGTTTTTTTATCGATGGTCACAACTGATAAAATGAAAATAGTTGTATGTATAAAATCTTGAAGACTTCAGAAAATATTAATAGTTACGAAACATCACGATTATGCCTTTTTAATTTGAAGACATCCATTTGTAATGTTAATTGCTTATAATTCTCATTCAACTTTTTCAAAAATTTGGTATTTATATTTTAATTTCCATATATTTTAGGGACATCGTGAAGACCAATGAGAAGAATAATTCTTCTCATTGTTCTTCACAATTATGAAAATTAAAACTCTTTCCAATATTAGTTCTAAAAGGTGTCGCTTCCATACAATATAGTGTTATACAGAGAAGACCAGGCTACTAGTAACATAGCAAGTTGCCGGACGAATTTACGTTTACCCGATTTGCGTTCGTACTCGAGATTCACTGTCGGCTAGTCGGCTGGTCAGGCAGTACGCAGTTGCAGTTGTGCTTGGAAGCGTCGGTCGTGACAGACAAGGAATACGACGCGAGGAGTGCCGAGTATTTATTATTTTCATTTTAAGTGTTTACCTTCACTTAAGATAATATTTAGAATAAAAATACATAACTATTTATTATTTGAGTGTGTTTACAAGCCAAAACTAAAAATAAATAAATTCTCTAAACCCAAAAAAAACTAAAATATTACTCTAAATAAAAAAAAAGTTATAACAAGTGTTTATAAAGGCCATCTTCTTGTGCTAGACTAGGCGGTCGTAAAATCCCCGTCTGACATTGGCTAACATATTAGAGCTAATAGTTTGGAAAGCCTCTCGTATTTTTACTTGAAGCTCATCCAGATTATTAGCCCTATTATGACCATACACTTTGGAATTTACATAACCCCACAAAAAGAAATCATTGGGAGAAAGATCTGGTGTTCTAGCGGGCCACAAAATAGTTCCATTTCCACTAAATTAAACGGTTGGGAAAAAATTGTTCAAATATTCTTGAACAATACGGGCATTGTTGGCAGGGCAACCACCCCAGCAATTTGATTACTTGAAAACGTGGGATTTTGATCCGGGGTAGCACAAATGAACACTTGCTTTAAATCCTGTTCTTCATTAATCAACATGTCAGGCTTTTTGTGTTTTTGTGGGGACACGCCCCATGTGTTTCAAAATTATTAATAACTCTTGATATAGTAGGTAAAGATGGAATTGGCCTGTTTACAAAAATTTGTGGAAAAATTGTTTGTATATCCCGATAAGACCTATTTTGTAAATACCCTTTTACAATTTAAATTTTCTCACGAACTTCGTAAACATCCATTCTTTTACTTAAAAAATAAATTTAACACGAGAACTATCCCGAGAATCTATGTATTCGTTTGGGATATTAAAACACGAATAAATACAAGTTCTGAAACATTCTTATCACATATCTACCTATTTTTATTTTATTGCATTTTTTCGCCTGCTTTTTATCCGGCGGACGGGTATAGGTTAATTCGTCCGGTTCTGCCTATGTTACTACTACCGTGGCCCGGTCTGTATACTGATAACAACGCTTCAAAGATTTATAACATGTATATTTTATTTTTTATTCTTATATATCTGACCTTATTTTTCAAAAGGCAGATCACGTCTATACCAATCTAATTATTTCAGTAAAAAAAAGTTTTTAATATTTTTAAGTTAACTATGGATAGGATTATAACACTCTTGTTAACCAGTTTAATTGGTTTATTTCAAAAATGACAGATTATATTTCAATATTATTGGACCGACGGAACGATGAACGACGCACGGACGCAGATACTTATGAAATCGACTTAAGATTTTTGAAGCTTGTCAAACTCTTGCCAAATAATAGGTTATAATTTGTGTGAAATTATGTCAAATAACCTGCGTTTTGGTAGATGATAAATATTTGCGTATTGATTTTGTATTTTGGTTTGGTTTGGCCCAGAGCACAGTTTATAATTAATATCAGTGCCCAGACAGAGAGTTTTATTAGCCACCAATAAAGTTTGTATACCATTTAGTATATGGTACTAAAAACTGGAGTAGCTGTAAAATAACGACATCACACGACAGGTAAATAATAGATTTTAGTGCTGCAGAAAGGTAATGTCCAAAAGGTGGGGCTAGTTTAAAAAAAAATAAGATTAAGATTATTTAATCAATTTTTAAGAAATAAAATTCAGTAAGTGTTATTATTAATAAAATATTTTGTTTTATTTATTCCTGTGCAATATTTTTTTTTATTTATACATAAGTTAAAATTGATAAATATAATAATATGCAGGAAGTTTCTTAAAGTTTGAAAGTAAGAAAAAAGTTCTTTTTTATATATTTTTTTTGGTATGTGGTGTTTTGTTTACCATACGCCCTTGTTTGTTTTGTATTAACACGTACCATAATTTTTTTTGAAATAAAATAACTGGATTAGATTTTTTCAGTTTTATACAGTTTTTTTTACAATAATTTGAAGTAATCACTTGTCACTCAAATATTATTAAATATATAAATTTCCTGCCATGCTTTTCAATTGTATAAGCCAGAAACATTATGACCAATCAGAAAGTTGGATGACGGATGCATGAAAATTCCACTTTATAGTCTTTTTATTCAATGAGTTTACCGAATATCTATAGAGTACATTAATATAGAACATCATGTATAAAAATATATTCTTACATTTGCATTATTAGGCTGAAATCGAATGGCGTACTCCTGCATCACATTCACATAAACCGTATTATAAAAGTTTATCAAATCTCCTCTTTTTTCAATGTGTGGATCATCTGCAAAAATATACAAAGACGTTATACAAAAATTTCAAATAATTTAAATAAAATTCTCTTACTGTTGGTTTCTTTTTCAATTAAAACGTCCCTATACACGGCACTGGAGGCTTGAGGTTGATCTCTATAGTGCTTCATGATGAGAGAGAACAAGTTTGGAATTCTGTTCACGTTGCACGCTTTAGAGATGACGTAGATGGCACACATGAGCAACTGGTCCAAGTGTCGGTCCTTGATTAGATCCGTGTGTCGGATGGAATCTTCGAAAATCGTCCACATCTTTCTCTTCAAATCGAAATCAGTGAAACGTAATTTGGAGTATAAAAGTTCCATTCGCATACTTGCAAGGTTATAAAACTACAAAAAAAAATCATCAGTTTGTATCAGGGTTGAAGAAAACATGTATTTTTTATGGTTTGAGCAGGTTTGACGCGTCAAGTTGCAAAATCCGTCTTATCTCACAAAGGTTGTTTCGAGATAATAGGCAAAAACTGTTTTAGCAAATGTTTGAAGCGTTAGTTTACAAAAAAACGTGTCCATTGAGCGGAATCATTGTTTTGTATTTCGTTTTATTAGAAATGAAAATTAATATTTAATTTTTAAACAGAAAAAACACAAAAATAATTCGGATAAGGCGGGTTTTGTTGCAGTATGATACATATTGGCAATGAAATTTTTCAATGAAGTTTTTTTGAAATCAACTGAAATGCACAAAGCCTATAACAGTTTATATTGTTTTATACATGAATTTAACTCCAAAGTCGGGATTATTATTATTATTAAACAAGTTTTAAACACTTGCTTTAAACTCGCTTTAAAACTACATAGTGTAGATATATGATATTCAAAAGCTGAAGGGACATGTACTATGAATTATTGGTAAATCATGGTAAAAACCAAATGAAAAATAAAAAATAAACTAAAAGGAGCATTACTTACCTTTCTAAATATAATTGCTATACTGCCCGTTCTACGTGGCAACGAAGCAGCTTGGGGATCTGGTCTTGCTTCTGGACTGCTATTCTGATCGATAGGCTTTTTCTCAGTGTCTACCAGTTGAATTACCTTGACGTTTCCATCTCTTCCTGGAAGAACTATACAAAAAATTCAGTAAAAAGTCATCTTAATAATAAATTTCTGAAAATCCAGATTTTAAAATATCGACGACTTATTTATTCTTTATTGAATTGAGAAGAAACTATATCTATACTAAGGGCTGGTTAAGGAGCCATGAGAACCTGTCCAACAGCAGCAATGGAGGTCATTCTAGATCTAACACCACTGCACATTGTCATTGGTAGATATGCCAATGCGACAATGATTAGAATGGTCACTAACGGAATTAGTACTGGGAGAATTGTCAGATCAGGGGCTTGGAACACCCTCAAAAAGGAAATACCACTCCTGCAACTCCCAGTGGACGATATGCCAAGAACGTACAACTTTGACAAACATGTCAATGTAGTATTGAGCAATAAGAAGGATTGGAAGAGCGAAACGCTTGCCCAGCAGTTAAAAGACCATACCATAACTTGGTATACTGATGCTTCCAAAACCAATACGGGAACAGGGATCGGAGTGTTTGCGCCGAGAGCTAATTACTCCGAACCAATGGGCACTTACCCTAGTATCCTACAGGCAGAAATCTACGCTATCGAGAGATGCGTACAACTTATCTTAGATAGGAACTATCGGAAACAAGAAATAGCCATCTTATCTGATAGTCAAGCAGCGTTAAAGGCGATCAACTCAGTATCAATCGATTTGAAATTGGTCAAAGAATGCATAGAGAAGCTGAATAAATTAGGCAAAGAAAACAAAGTCCTCCTACACTGGGTGCCTGCTCACCAAGGGATAGAAGGCAATGAAAAAGCAAATAATCTACTAGGAAAGGAGCGAACACTCCACTAACTGGACCAGAACCGTTCTGCTTTCCAAGTGGTAACCAACTCAAGGCGGAACTCAAGAACTTGGAAGATTCCATCCGCAACCTGGAATGGAAATCTCGCAATGGTCTAAGACACTCGAAGAAGTTTCTGAGGGCTTATGATCAAGAAAAATCACAGATCTTCCTGGGTCTGAGTAAGAACAATCTTCGGATTGTCACGGGGTTTTAACAGGACACTGTCTCCTCAATGAACACCTCAGTAGATTGAAACTAAGAAGAAACGGCGAATGCAGATTCTGTGGGGAAGATGGGGAAACACCAGTACACCTCATTACTGAGTGCGCCGAGACGACAACCATTCGTGCCAGGAATTTTGGTACGACTGATATTGGAGATGGAGAACTACCCTCTATAAAACCGTCCCAGATACTGGCTTTTGTCAAAGCCCTGGGACTGTATGATGAGTTATGATTCAAGAAAGGGAGACACAATGGATCTGTAAGGTCGAAGTGATTAACCCCCCTCCCACTCATTCTAAATTCTAAAAAAAAGGGCTGGTTAATGAACTGAACAAAGACAGAACAGTAAAAACGTTGCCAAACGTATGAAATAAACCGAGAAACTGTGCACATTGTTAAGAGACGTGGAAAAGAATATAGCAGATTTGTCGCGGTCGACCCAATCAGTACTTAAAATTCTAGGAAAGAATGTACATCATACGTTCAGCTTCACGATTTAATTACGTCTCGTGATACTTTGTTTATCTATTAACGAGTCGTTGTAATTCTCCCTATAGCTTGTAAATTTTTAAGTGCAAGCTAGAAACACTTGCACTTTTGGTAAAAATAAGTGGAATTGAGTTGGTGTTCGACAGTGGTCGCGCTATTAGAACTATTAGAATTCAAAAATCGATATCTCGAAATCCATTAGAAATAACTGATTGTAAATTAATGTGTTTACAAAAATAACTACTTTATTTTGTAGATTTTCTTAAAATGACCATAGGACTTTTTTGGAGTAATTGATTGTAGTTTTTTTTTTAAAAACTTTCTTAATATTTCTGCTGTATTTTCTTCACAGACAGTATGTGAAAATCTTTATAAATAAAAAAGTTACACGATTGCTGAAAATTACAATGCAAAATGGACGGTTTTTATTAAATTTTTGAATGGAAAAAAACAAGCCTATTGAATTTTTCTTATTTAAACATCTTGTAAAAGATACGTACCTCAAAATAAAAGTTTTAATATCTAAAGTAGTTCTTGAGTTATCGCGCGTTATGTGTTAAAAAGTTGAGTTTTTAACTTATCGTGATTACTGACGTTTTCTCGTTATAATAAACATGGACACTTTAATGATATCTTTATAATCCCATTTCTGATGCTTAGAAACATATCTAATAATTTTATCTAGTTATCATTTCGAAGAAAAAGTCTTTTAAAAATAAGCCGTTTGCGATTGTGATTTTACTTTACTTGATAGGGAAATGCGTACCGGAGAAATGTGGCAACGCCGCAACAGCACACCGTCGCATTTCTCTCACTCCGACTTAATAAGATCCCTATGCGATTTATTTCCACACATGTAAATACCGACCCAAAAGTAAGCGTTGCCAGGACGGTATATATAGGAAAAAAATGCAATTTTTACTCCTTATTTCAGAATTTTCATAAGCATTTTCAAGCTCACATACCAAAATCCGACTGTATGTGCATAATTTAAAGTGAATAATAGCGATGGGAACTATCGAATGAATTAGACTATCGAATGGTTACTGAATGAATGATTTCAACTATCGAATGGTTTTATTCCAATAAAATCATTCATTCATTTGTATACTAGAGCATACGTGACAACCTCCCCGTACACTGATCATGGTTATCGTTGAGCACCCCTATCCACGGCTATAATAATGGAACATTTAGTATCGTTTCATCTTTGACTGCGCGCTCACCGCTCTCTCTCAGTTCTCTCCAAATTCATATAACTCGCCGTATAAATCACTGTGCTATTTTTGCGTTTTATAAAATATTTTAAAATACTAATATTAAAAAAAAAAAGTTTTTTTCTTTTTTTAATTTGTTTTTTTTTTTTTTTTTTTTGAGTTTTTAATTTTTTCCGAAATTTTGTGATCTTTTTCCGTAGCCCGGATTTCCTCTCCATTATTCTAATATGTTATATATGGTATATGTATTTTAAATAAAAAAAAAAAAAAAAAAAAAACAATTTTTAAGAGAGATGAGATGAAACTTACAATTAATTTTAAAAATAATAGATATTTGTATTTAGATGTTTAATAATATGAATAGTTGAACTTAATAATCATATTTAAGTAATTGTGGTGGTTTAAGTAAATGGGTTATCGAACTCAAGTTATGGGGTGAGAAAATTAAATTGATTGATTAAAGTTTACACGTGCCAATTTTAAAAAAAAGGTTAACGATGTTTGTATTTTGTGTATGCTAATTCTCTTACATGCTAGTTTTTTTTGCGAAAAATATTTCATTATTTTTTTAAAGTAAATGCCAGTAAAAAAAAGTCAAAATATCAATAATTTTATTTTAAATAGTAATTACTCTGTTTTTTTTCTCAGGTAAAGATTTCGACAGACGATGACAGAAGAAAAGCAGATGACGTCCCATACACATCTATTTATTTTTACTTAAAAAAAGTTTTAATAATTTTTAAGTTTATCTTTATGTGGAGTTTATATATATATATGGATGGGTTTAAATATAAATCCGGTCATACGTCGTGTCTTGTTTTTTAACCAGTTTTATTGGTTATTTAAAAAATGGACAGAGCATATTTCAATTTTATTGGTTTGACGGAACGATGAACGACAAACCGAACGCCGATGCGTATGACTCGCCTTTAGATTTTTGGCATTTTTGACGCTTGTCAAATTATAGGTTATAAATATTCTTTGGGTTATAATTTGTGTCAATTTGTTAAATACCCTGCGTTTTGTAAAATGATGCATTTTGATTCGTATTATTACGTGTGTTTTAGGTCTTTTGAAGTCAAGTGGAGGAAAAATCGAGTGGAAAATAAACTGTAGACCCAGAGCACAGTTTATTGTTAATATTTCGCTGCCCAGGCGGAAAGTCTTATACACCAATGAAATTGCCATCTATAAAGTTTGTATACCATTTCGTCGTAGATAAGTGCCATCTCGTATATGGTAGAAGGATCAAACTACACACATACTAAAAACTGGAGCAGCTGTAAAATATCACATCAAAACCGATAGCGTAAAATAAATGAATTTTAGTACTGCAGAAAAATTAACTGTCAAATTGGTAACTGGTTTAAAAAAATTAAGATTAAAGTTTAATTATCAACCTTTAAGGTATAAAATTTGGTAGGTGTTTATTATTAATAAAATAGTTGTTTTATTACCTATGTTGTTTTATTTATTCCATGTGCGAATTTACAAATTTGTATTTGTACATAAGTTTATATTGATAAATATAAAATAAATGCGGGTAGTTTCATAAAGCTTGAATAAATAATAGTTATATATATATTATATTTTTTGGTATGTAGTGTCTTGTTCTTTTTGTTTTGTATTAACAACATACCGTTTTTATATAATAAAATAACTCGATTACATTTTTGCAGTTTATACACTTTTTTTCACAATATTTTGAAGTTTTTTTTTTTTTTTTTTTTGAATTTTTATTAATTTCCTGCTATGGTTTCCAGTTGTACCAACTTTTTTTTTTTTTTTTTTTATAAAAAATAAACTTACTTTAAATTTTCAATGACAGACCACATCTATCACTGTCAAAGGATCTTCTGTTGGACAGACTATATAAAGCACCTAATATATGTAAATAATTTTTGATTCTAATTTTTTATTTATATTTTTCTTCCATTATACTGCATGCTTAGAAAATTAATAATGTTTGATATTTCATGATTTTAAAATTGTTGTAATATACAAATTAGTTCTGTAATTTACTATTAAAAAAACAACCGTTGCCAAAAAATTTAGAGTCTATATATTTTTAAATAGGATCTAATTATAAATAATTTTGCATTTAATTTGTTGTTTATATTTTGCGACTACTTAAAAAAATGTTCATATTAAATGATTTAAATTTTTGTCGTTAATAGGTATAAGAATTATTACGTTATTATTATTTATTAAAACCAGTCTTTGCTTTAAAAGCATTAAAACCTATAAAAAAAATAAAAAAA